CTATAGCCCGACCGAGGGCGCATTACTATAGCCCGACCGAGGGCGCATGACTATAGCCCGACCGAAGGCGCATGATTATAGCCCGACCGAGGGCGCATGATTATTGCCCGACCGAGGGCGCATGATTATAGCCCGACCGAGGGCGCATGGCTATAGACCCACCGAGGGCGCATGATTATAGACCCACCGAGGGCGCATGATTATAGACCGACTGAGGGCGCATGATTATAGCCCAACCGAGGGTGCATGATTATAGCCCCACCGAGGGCGCATGATTATAGCCCCACCGAGGGCGCATGATTATAGCCCGACCGAGGGCGCATGATTATAGCCCGACCGAGGGTTCAAGAATATGCGTAAAGCCCAATCGAGGGCGTGTGAACGGCCGCCGAGGCCAGCAACCTGCCTACCGAAGCCTAAAGCATACCGCCCAACCGAGGGTGCACAACGGCCATCGAGGCCAATAGCCTGCCCACCGAGGGCTAAAGCAAACTTCCCGCCAAGGGATAAAGCGTAGTACCCACCGAGGGCCAAAGCATGCTGCCCACCATGGGCCGATTATATACTGCCCACCGAGGGCTAAATCATACTGCCTATTGAGCAAATGAATAGCCACCGAGGCCGACAACCTGCCCGCCAAGGGAAAAGCATACTGCCCCTAGGGCCGAAATTATACTGCCCATTGAGGGCAAACGAACGACCACCGAGGCCAAGAACTCACACAACTGCCTGGCATTAGGCGTCACACCACACACATACGATATGATGCCCGCTTGCACCCAAAAAGGTGATAAACCTAGAAGGCATGGCACCCCCACTACGGAAGGTGTATTTGTACCCTCAGCATTATACCTATGCATAATCATATGATGCCGCCGCTACCTCATCAATTGCTCTGACTAGGGTACACGGTACCGGCTAGCAAAGCAGTATAAACTGTGGCTTTCAGAGTATCCACGAGAACTCTCTCGCCTCTTACACATCCGTATATTCTCTTCCTACACAGGCATATAACCTCATACAAGCTCGCAAAGAACGCTCATACACACACACACCACCACGCACACACGTTCATAAGCACGCACCAGCGTTCTCTCGACCGCCTCGCATTCATGTGACAGAGAATAGATGCCCGTAGACCACCACAAGCTGCTCGTGTGAGCCCACTTACTGGCCCGATCGTCGCCAACACCGCATACAGCTTGTCGGCCTATAAAAGCACATACCGTACCAGCGAACAGGCCATCTTGCCCCGCCCTGATGGCTGCTTTCGCCTTAGCCACTCTAGCAGTAGCCACAAACTCTCACCACCTGCACTTCTGCACCCCATCCATCACTTCACACGATAGCATACGCGCCTGCCACATGCACATCCACATATGTACAGCACGCAGCACACGTCCATATCCTCACCACTGCCATACCTGCGGACTACGCACTCACACTGCTCTAAGATGCTGGCGTGGGCCCACATACCAATCACTAGCACTGATACTGGCCTGGGAAAGCGCAAACGTTGGCCATCAGTTCCAGGTTAGCTCATTCTATTGGCTACTAGCCTGCCCGGCGCTGAGCCATGCATAATGCGCCTCCAGATCACATCTGGTGTGTATGCACGTGCAAGCTGGGGATCCAAGCCATAGAGCACTTTCCTCCTGCCCGAATTATCTTGGTGGGACGCGTGGCGGTTGTTGGTGCAAACTTGCACAACATTGTCAGCGAGCCTTTGAGCACATTGCGTTTGTTGGCCAAGTTTCCCCAAAAAGAGAAGGGCCCAGGTAACACTGAACGAGGCGACGGTAGTAGACTGATGGTCAATCCAGGACAGGGTGGATTGCCCACGCTATCAGCCAGCATACTGCAGTCCTGGCGAGGCAATGTTATGTGCATAGCGTCAAGATGTACAGCGTCTTATCACCATATTCAGGTGCGATCTCACTCTCGGCCAGCAAACCATAGAGTTGACGCGGGCGGCCACCACGCGAATGAATAGTTAATGACATGCTGAATGCAAACAAAACTAGACTCCCGAACAAAGCGTCGACCAGCGAGTGCAGAGGCCGGTAGTGACTGCGGAGCAAATGGAAGCACAAGCCGTAATGCACTGATCGGGCCTCAAAAGGAGCAGGCAGGCATTTTTTGTTCAACATATTCCGGACAGAAAGAATAGCATGGCAGGCACAGATACGTCGGCATGAATGCGTGCGTGCACCCGGCAACCATGACTTGCCCCCGGCGGGGCAAGGGTAGGTAGTGAGTAATGACCAACCATATCAACAGAAAGCAATTTGCTGCCGCTATTCGATGTCACCCACAGGCGACAGTGGTGTCAGAACCTGCGGGGCAGGGTGCACCAAAGCACCTTGTAGTGGGTAGTCAGAATTCAGAGGCATTGAAAACTGCTTTCCGTTGGTTACGTGGTATGTCGAATGTTCCTCACCGCACGCCCGCGCAGCAGCTGGGGCGTCTCGTCCCCTCGGCGGTAGCAACAGCTGCTCTGCCAACAGTGATCCGATGGACAAGTATCATCCCGACTGATAAATGGTCTTCCGGATGATCAGCTACGCTATCAAGTCTGCTCTGGAGACGCGGGGTGAATTCGGAACTGCCACCGAGATTTCTGATAACGGTGGCCACGATTTCTAACGAACTGCTCTGGCCAAATTGCCAAGCGCAACGTTTGCGCAACTCGCGAACCGTGACATTACAATGATTCCCACGCGGTATGGCCCGCATAGCGGATGGGCCATCTCGTCCGCCCAGCAGTGACAACCGCTGCTCTTTCAACACTGATACGACGAACCCGTACGGTCCTGAACGACAACTGGGGTTAGGATGATGATGATGGTGGGCGTGGCAAAACTGCTGCACTAGTAACAGGGGAAAATGTGTAGCCACTCCCATGCCAAACTCAAAGTCGTATCCGCACGGCCCAGTTGATAAATGGATAGGGCTTCGCCTGTCGCTCTGTTGCCAGAGTTGGAGCTAAATGCAAGCACTATGCTGAACGTGCTGTGTACAATGGACACTTGGAAATCACTGCGACGACAACCAGCTGCAGTGAATTATTCCAGTTTGCATCTTGTCTTGAGTATCTTGGCGACTTGTGGCTTTAGTAAGTGAGTTGAGTTTGATATCTACTACTGTGATACTGGACACTGGATACTGTAAGTCTACAAATTATCAGCACGTTTTAAATTTCAGCATCCGCAGGCCAAAATCCTTTTCGGCCCCATTAAAATTCAGCCTATACAGCTCCTGCCTGTATATCCTGTCATACTGTATAATGCATGTCACAATTTCAAACAAATCCATCCTGACAACTCTCAGCTCGATAGGCACATCAGGGCCACTTCCATGTCCTTTCCAAACTCTCCTATCATGCCTTGGAAACGCCACAACAACTCAATCTAGCATTCTTTTTCAACTTCTTGCTCAAACCCAACCGATTTTCACGATTCTAAGTGCACTGGAAAGCTGAGACGCAGGCACATCTTTTGATGGCCATTACGCATTCCCTGTGCCAAAAGGAAATCCCCTGGTATGCTCCAATAATACTGCAAGGTCGAAAACCAGAAAATCCTCGAACTCTCAGTGCCATGGGTTCCTTGTTCACCTTGCCGCCTCTGGGTTCGTCTTTGTCCTGTCATATTTGTCACGCACCCTTAGGAAGATGTTTGTCACGAAAAGCAAAAATCTCTCCTGTATATCACGGTTCATTTCACCATGGTAGTATACGCCATACCGACATCTTTTGGGGGAATTACGAGTACTTAAAAAAAAAAAAAAAAAAAAAAATTTCACGGTTCGCGTGAGACTCGGCCAAAGGCCCAGTTTTCCGCATCCGCAGGAACGCCACCACCCTCTTGGATCAAGGCGCAGATGCAGCTCCTAAGCGGTGGGAGGTGAGTAGATCAGACCCACCACAAAGTGGTCAAAGACCGAAATCCCATTCACTGCATCCATGTTTCCCTCGTGCCAGGCCACGAGTTCCCAATTAACTGTGGGTCGCAGCACGGCTGGAAAAAATCCTTCCGCTTCCAAGCAGGACTTGAACCTGGTACCCTCTGTTTCTCAATCATGGTCTTAGACCATCCCACTATGCCTGCCTGCCTTACTTAAAAGGGAAGTTAAATTATCCCATGCAGTGGATGCGAATGGTTGCAGACGTATTCATTGCACGGCTCAAATGCAAAGTGGCACTCCTAGTATATTGCACGTTTAAAAAATTCTAGTAGCTGGACTTGCGTTTGTATCCCGCGAGTTTATGGTTTATTCATTTTTTACTGATTCCAATTGCCAGGTGTGTCTTTACCACCATATTTATCATCCAATTTCATTTGTCCAGTAAAAGAGGAATAGAAAAACGTGTTTCGTTTTATTTCTATGGTACCTGATGCGTGGGCTATTGCGAAGAATATCGAAAATAAGATAATCTTTACTGTTGGGTGTTCCTCGGGATCGGAAGCTGTTGGAAAAATGAATGTTCTGGATACGAACTTAGTAACTGAAGCTGCAGAGCCAACTTGTGTTTACACATCAAAATGACGGCAAAGCACAATTCTACCTGTATTTCTTGATCCTCAAAATCTATTACGTTCCCGGGGCAGTCATCATTCTTATTCACTGGTAAACAAAGAAGGCAGAACAATAATTATTCTTTTTCAACTAGATTTTCATGCTTCGTGCCAATAGATCAAAACATACGTAGCCGGAGTTGTATTTAACATTCGTATCCAGGCAACGTTCATAATGCTCCCTGTTCACGCTTGTTTGTTGTAGCACTATATAATAGTGCTACAACAAACAAAAAAGTACAGTGCATGAGCTGTCAAAGCGCTGTTGCATAACAGCCTCGCCGGCTGACTGAATGTCAGATATGCGACTTGCAACTTTGACCTGTTCATATCGCCTGAAAGTTCCTGGTTACGGGCAAAAGGGACATGTCGTTTGACTTCTTATTTCTCACTCTCTGCTTCCATCATGGTGTATGTCTGCAGTTCGCTAACCGCAAGATGAAGAATCCGTGGAAGATGTCGGAGTTCAGGCGCATGCTTCCGACCTTAATAGAAACCCTCGATCCTTTTGGACTACGGACGCGCTGTGACGCTTACGAAATCATCACGCCTCGATTCAAGAGAAGCTTGGCTTCGATTCGTGACCCGAACGATCACAACGAAAGACTCCTGGATGAGCTGAGAGGTGGAGATGCAGATTCGTTCCACAGGTTTCTCAGTTGCATAAGAGAGTCAGAGACTTACACACGTGTCAAAGAGATTTTAGCTAAACTGGAACCACTGGACATTCATCATGTTTCGACAGGTAAGCCATACGGTTCATATCACAGGGTGTAACACCCGGGATTTCAGCTGGTCCGGCCGAATGGGATACTTGACCGGAAAGGAACAGAAAATATGATGTGGTTTCGGTTGTGACCGGACCGACCAAACTGGTTGCTGCGGCCCTGCATCAGATGGAAAACACATGTCTAAGATGTGGTGTGAATTAGGCAGCTAGATGCCCTTGCCGTCATGGCTTTAACATCCTGTGATCAGTCCACTTTAAATAAACGCTCACATAACGCATAACGCCCGCATTACTCTTTTGAAGGGTGTAGTGTTCACGTCTACTTACGCGCTGTGGTATTCCTTGACCACTCCAGACATTCATGATGCATGTATTAGTAGTACATCGTGTTATGTTATGCATGGAGCATGTGCCGTTTCCCGCGCGCTTTCCAACACCAGGAACTGAGAGCTCTTGACAGTCACGTGCATGAGCTGATTTACTTAGTAACTGGTGGTGTAAGTGGACATAGTGTAATGGGCCATTCACACTACGCCCAAAACGTGACGTTTTCGTTCGGACAGCCATGACAACATGAAACGTGGCGAGACAATCGTCCTCCTGATACGAAAACGTAGACGACGTATCCAGACCCCTGTACCGAGTTTCGTTCTGTCGTTCCCAGCAGTGTTTGTCCAAAAGAAGCTATACACACAGCTGTACGAGTAGCGTGTGCGTGCCTGTGTGAATGCACCTGCATGAAAACGACGTCTACCAGTACGTCTTATTCCTAAACGTGACATGTATTGTAACCATGGTAACGTAGTATGAATAGCCTATAACTTGTAGTTCCTTGATCTTTTTTACTTAACAGCTGGTCGTAGCAGCTCCGTTTAGGAGCACTCCGAGAAAGTTGATGGAGGCGCAAAAGTTGAATGCAAACCAGGGGCGTCACCGGACCCCTTCACAGGGGGGTGCACAGGAATTTTGAACAGGAAAATTTTTGCACAGGAAAACACGAAAACGTTCGCTGATAGTGAGCTGGCCAGACGCTTTCCTTTTTCGAGAAGACGACATTTTGAGAGGAAACAGCTCCAAAGACTCTTCAAGTGTGGTGACCTGACTAACTTACTTGCGACCACACTGAATTATTTATTTCTTCTGTTTCAAACAAACACCCAGCATGCCGCCGCGCGTGTAGATTCTACATATACATATAATACAAAGGATGCAGCGCTGCGCACACGTGCACGCGTAGAGTATACGCGCGTAGTAATTATTATTTAAAAAATTTCACGGTTCGCGTGAGACTCGGCTGGAAGCTAGCCGGGCTTTCCGCATCCGTAGGAACGCCACCACCCTTCAAAGATTACGGCGCAGATGCAGCTCCTAAAGCGGTGGGAGGTGAGTAGATCAGGTCAGAATCAGCTAGATTCTACCAGCACTACACTTTTCATAACCAGGAGTTCGCAAAAAACAAGGTCGAATTTTTAGGGGGGTGCACGTGCCCCCGTGCCCATCACGGGTGACGCCCCTGCAAACTCTGCGAGACGAAGCTCGAGTTCAATGGCTCGGCTACGATCTCAGAGTGGGAAAATCTTCCCCAAAGGCATGTTACTTGCTCGACGGCTGTAGCTACCACGGATGCGAAGGTGTCCCAGGCGAAAAGCGCAGACGCAATGCGGAAGTTTCTGGGCCGTCAAAAAATTTCAACGAATAATAGAATATTCGTTCGTTGAAAGATTTGATATTTGATATAGTATTCGTTCTTGAAAACTGGGTTAGTGTGCATCACTGGTTGGAATACTATTTAGCATCCAATCCCTCACATATTCACACTCAGTCAGGGCAACAACGACTGGCTTTGGAGACAATGTGTTACTTTGAGTAACTGGTCTCGTAATGCAAGAGCACCGTTCAGGCGCTGCATCTGCGCCTTTGATCCTAGAGGGTGGTGGTGTTCCCACGGCGGATGCGGGAAACTCGGCTCACACGAACCGTGAAATTTATTTATTTTTTAATGCAAGAGCTCGAAGAGCTGGCAAGCAATGCTAGGCCGCTAGCAGCAACTTGCTCATGATGAGCAGCAACTAACGAAGAAAATGTCCAGTTGGAAGCAATAGAGCTGTATGTCCCCAAGTAGTACCATTAGCAAGAAGATATGATGGCAGGGTTCTAGCCAGGTCAAAATAGTAGGGCATGGGAACCAGTTACCCTGTAACCCATTTTAGCATTTTCCGAAATTGTCTTGCCATGCAAAATTCAATGTACGGGGCAAACCCCCGACTTCACAACAGACAAATGTGCCTTTATGAACCCTCCAGTAGCGACTATCCACTACACTTTTCGTTGAATGGCATCAAAAAAGTCCGAGAGGAAAATAGCAGTGTTGCAGCGAATATTCGAAAAATTGAATATCTTCGATTGCACAGAATATTCGAACATGCGAGTCAGAAGTCGAATATTCGAAATGCTACACTTCGTGTACAACTTTCCGTGCAAAGTCTTAATTCGCTCATCGCAGCACGCTCACTGCATTCTTGCATCGTAGAATGTGCAACAATCACTGCAATTGAGCAACAAACGACATCGTCAACATATTTTCGCTTGCAGCTGCTGCTGCCCAGTTTGACTTACGCGCCGTTTGTAGCTTGTACCTTCGCAAGAAATACTTATGTTCTTCTTCGTAGTTTGTAGCAGTTCCCGGTTAGTTTTGAATCGTATCAGTCCGCTTTGCTTAGTTTCGAGTCAGTAGAAATTCGTGATGTCGGATCGTCAAGCTAGCTCCGTGTGGGAGAGTTTTGAGAGACTTGAGACTTCTGTTTCCGACGCAAGTCCACAAAATAGTTCATCCTGCGCATGGAATGCGAGGATGTCGTCTTCTTCCGCTCCGAAGTACATTAGGCTCTTCCTTCGATACATCGTTGACGATCCGTTTTAGGAGACTCAGTGCAACATGGAATCCAAACTCAAACGAATAAACTTTCATGTACTTGCAACAGAGAGTTGCATCCAGAACAGTCCAGTCTACCGAAGAGAACAAGAACAGCAACTCGCGTCGCACTCCACTTCGTATTTTGTTGTCGCGGAATTCAAATTGCGATTTTCTCGACTTTTTCCACAAAAGCTGTGGTCATGTCTTAGCACGCGCTGGCTCAAATAAACAAGGAAGCATAGTGTGCTGAAATGGGCTCGTCTGTATGGGTAGAATAGTAGAATATTCGCTCGTACTGTGCATATTTGTTAGAATATTCGTTTGTGATTTTGCTATTCTTTGCAACACTGGAAAATAATGATTATTGGGTGAACAGGGCACATTTTAGTGCTCTTTTATTGCTTGTTTTTTGGATGAATTGGGCGCAGCATCCGGGGCGAAAAGTGGTACAAGCATGGTGGTACTGGTGGTACCGTGTGTGACGCCCCTGGACTCTAAAACCCAGTGCCACAACTCCAATGGCATGCCGTCTGTTTCCTTGCAGCAGAAGCCTGTGCCAGTGTGGACAGTAGAAGCGGTGGTCACGGTGCTCCAGGAAGCGGTCATCACAGCGCTGATGGAAGCGGTGTTCAGGACTCTGAATTCATGTCACTTGGTGCCATTGGGTTAGTGAAGGCTTTCCTCGCAGGTTTATAAAGAGGTCAAATACGTTGCCTTGGAGCTGACCAATCAGCCGCTTTCATTAACGAAGCGTTCAGGGTAATGGAAACACTGACAATACGCTGCCTGCATATTTAGCCAGGGGATCTGTTTGATGACATAATGCTGCATCGCATTTCCAGGCTCTACTGTCCACGGGGGGGGGGGGGGGGGCAGGCACTCTCCACGTGGGGGGGGGGGGGGGCAGGCACTGTCCACTGGGGGGGGGGGGTAGGCACACTATTGTCCACTGGGGGGGGGGGGGGGGAGGCTCTCCTGTCCACCGAGGGAGGCTCTTCTGTTTGGACCCTACATAGAACGTGGACCTGTTTCTAGTTTTTTCGTTTTGTTTTGTGCTTTTTTGTTCTGTATGCCACTCTACCCTGCAGTGGAAAGACACTTGATCAGATTGCCGACTGGCATGCGTTTGTTAGCTCGATTGAACCGTTCATCGGTGGAGAGGAGGAAGGCGACGAGAGAGGTTGGTTGCTTTTGGACACCGTGATTCATGTGTATTTCAATAATGCCGGGTGGTGAATATATTTTCTCCAGCAAGGACACGGCAGAGTTTTAGCCGTGTGTATGTAGCGAATTATGAGTAAACGTAGTTTGAAGTAGTTCTAGGGTCAATCAACCTTATTCTCTCGGAGTGTAGGAGCCATTCGATTGCGGGCGATTTTCAGAGAAAATGAGCGTGAGGCTGGTGGCCTAAATTTCCTTTGTATTTGAACATTCTCGGTGACGTCCGAATATACTAATGGTGCGGTTCAACCAGGTGAAAATATTTTCAGAGCCAGTGAGTTCCCCTGAGCTGCTTGAATTGTTTTGCAATACCCTCTTGTCACTGTATGCACGTGTATGTGTAGACTTTGATGAGGAGGTGATGTCCTTGTACATTGGTTTTCAGTGGCGTGTCCAGGATTTGGCTGGGGGGGGGGGGGGTGCGGCCGGGATGGGGTGGGGGTAGATGACATCATGCTACTGTCCCAGGTCAGCCATTTAGAAAACCGATGTCAAGGAGCCGTAAATCTCACACACCACGAGCAGTATTTACGCAGCAACATTGTACATTGGGCCACCCAGAATTAATTCGTTGTTTCGGGTCACCCGACTGACCGTCTTTTCTTCACCCGACCGCAATTTTTTTATAGTGCATGCAAATGTACTATCATGTACATGACTAGACTATGTACAACATGGTACACACACGACCCTAATAATAGCAGTCCAGACATCGACCTCAGAAGCAGCCAAATGACAGGATGCAGCGCTTGGTGACGATCTTGTCTTCTATCTCCGATCCGCAATCGGTCCTGAAACAGCATCAGCTCCACCACCGCGTCGCTCATTGACAGAAGTTTTCAAGGTGAGAGCTGCTCGTCAGACTCGTTTGCCAGCGAGGCCAAGATCTGGTCCTGGAGGGGACCTGGATCTGATGGGACAATGGCTGCGCTGGATCGTCCACAGTCAGATTTGATCGACTGACTTGATGGACAGAAGCTATTCGATATGTACAACTGCACAATCATGTATGCACATGGCCGTTACCAAAATAAAAAATAAAATAAAAAATAAACCCGACCGACCGACCCTGGCCTTGTACAGTTCAAATAATTTAATTTGCCGTTATATGAGCGAATCAACTGCAATTTATGCGAGTCCAACAATTTCTCACCGCTCAAAGCATCCTTTACATAGGCAGTGGTACTACAGTGCTGGAAACTGAAATCCGACCCCCTGTCACCCCCTGGGCCACTTCATCACTACCACTGTTTCCTGTTGGAGTGGCAGCAGGAGTTGCGCCGCCCCAGGAACGCTTTGCAAAAAATCCATCCAGCCTCTGCTGGCTAGAGCTTGGCCTTTTGGGATGTCGCTGAGACATCGAAGAAAAGTCTTCGAGTCAACCAAAACACGATTCGAACGAGGATGATCGCCTGAGCTATCGGCATTCGAATCGTGTTTTGGTTGACTGGAAGACTTTTCTTCGATGTTTGTACGTTGAAGACGCATCAAGCGCGTCCCAGCAGGGATCACACTGTACAACAGTACAGTGTACACACTCAGGTCACCGACCGTGCAGCGTGTTTCTGTAGCCGGCCGTGCATGCTCACTGTACAGTGCGGATCGGCTATAGGGTTGTCGGCTATAGTAATATACCTCCTATAGTGATCGTATTCTCAAATTCATTTTCGTAAACCACCCCTTTCTATACATATCGGATCGGCTATAGTAATAATCGGCTATAGTAATATATCGGCTATAATGATACGATTTCTGTGTCAAAATGATCTTACTGCATACATTTTTCATCGGCTATAGTGATGATCCTAAAAAAGTATACATCGTACATGGCGAGATCTGATCGCGGCAGCCAGGAAGCGCTGGTACGACTATGATATCCCTCGGAGAAAATTCGAAATGTTTGGCGTTGGCTGTGCTTGTTGTTTCGGGGCATCCTCGAGCGAGATTGGAGGCAGTAATGAGTACCAGCGCTGAAGCGCTACCGTGGTCTCCGCCGAGATGTTGGAGAAGGCATTCAGGTAACAGCAAAGACGATCAGGGACGCGGAGAAGCTTCTCCGTGACATACGACATCACGCGTCGATCGACCTGCCACTTGGAACGGTTTCAGCGGTGATGAGTCGAGCGAGGGCGACCCAGACTGAGACTCTACTCCCACTAATCGATCCGGTAGATATTGTTGATATGTCGATTGAATGTGTTGAAGTGTTTCTCTTCCAAAAGAACACATTCCTTGAAAACTCATGTCAAAAAGTCACGAAGTATTTGCTTCCGCAGGAAGTAGCTCTGCCCGGCGCGTATTGCACAGTCACATGCACAGCACGCTTCTGCTCGCTGCACTGATTCGAATGACACCATACACGCATTTGTCAGGCATACCTAAGTATGCATATCGCCTATAGTAATATATCGCCTATAGTGATATTTTCACGAAAATCAAACACCAACGCCATAGCCGATCCGTACTGTACTCTGTAGACTGTGCATGTGGTGTGGACAATCAACACCAGCTCGAGCACCGACGTCCGTAGCGTGCAACCGATTTTGGACGGTCCATCTGATCGTTTCAGGCCGCGCGCACCCCCAGCCTAGTCTAGCTAGCCCTGCGCCCTGTCTTCTATTTTTCGAAACCTAGGTCGAAACTTTTAGGGGGGGGGGGGCGCCCCCCCCCCCCCCCCCCCCCCTAAACCCGCCACTGGTTTTTAACCAGTGTTCCTATTGAAGTCATGTCCCCTAAGAGTGGTTTGTTTGTTCGTTTGTTTAGCTTTATTTTACTTCACCAGAAGCACAGGCAAAATCTGCCTTCTCACTGGGCGTATTGCCACAGTTCTCGCAAAATGATGAAGGTGGTGGTATAAGAAAAGGAAGAAGAGGAAAATACAATCATGAACAAGGCACAAAGAGAAGACGGAAACAAATCAATGAGGGAGTGGTACTGACTCCCGAGTACATTTTTTGGTTTTATTGCCACGACTTGCCTTGGCAACCCATCAAGTGCAGCATCAGCTGCAATGGTTATACGTAACCAAGTCGACTCCACTGCTTGATGCAGGTTGTTGTCAACTTGTTGTGTGCACTGGTGTTCTACCTCTGTGGTTCATGACTGGGGAACGGATAAGCACACCTCCGCAATCTTTTAACCCTTTTTACCGGCAGCACCGCACTTGAATGAGTCGTAAACGACGCATTCGACAGGCATACTAAAACCATAGCTGGTATGACAGGAAGCATGAGCCCAGTACCAGTACCAGTACCATCACCAGTATCAGTATCAGTACCAGTACCAGTACCAGTACCAGTATCAGTATCAGTACCAGTATCAGTATCAGTACCAGTATCAGTATCAGTACCAGTACCAGTACCAGTACCAGTACCAGTACCAGTACCAGTACCAGTACCAGTATCAGTACCAGTACCAGTACCAGTACCAGTATCAGTACCAGTACCAGTACCAGTATCAGTATCAGTACCAGTATCAGTATCAGTATCAGTACCAGTACCAGTATCAGTATCAGTACCAGTATCAGTACCAGTACCAGTATCAGTACCAGTATCAGTACCAGTATCAGTATCAGTACCAGTACCAGTATCAGTATCAGTATCAGTACCAGTACCAGTATCAGTATCAGTACCAGTACCAGTACCAGTATCAGTACCAGTACCAGTATCAGTACCAGTATCAGTACCAGTACCAGTATCAGTACCAGTATCAGTATCAGTACCAGTATCAGTACCAGTACCAGTATCAGTACCAGTATCAGTACCAGTACCAGTATCAGTATCAGTACCAGTATCAGTATCAGTATCAGTACCAGTACCAGTATCAGTATCAGTACCAGTATCAGTACCAGTACCAGTATCAGTACCAGTATCAGTACCAGTATCAGTATCAGTACCAGTACCAGTATCAGTATCAGTATCAGTACCAGTACCAGTATCAGTATCAGTACCAGTACCAGTACCAGTATCAGTACCAGTACCAGTACCAGTACCAGTATCAGTACCAGTACCAGTACCAGTACCAGTACCAGACTTCCAAGAAAACATAACTTGCACATACAACATGTGGCCTCGTTGTGAGTTATTGGCATCCTTCTCAATCTTATGGATTTCATATACAAAATACACTTGCCGGTAAAGGGTTAATTATGTTTACGTTAAATGAAGCTGTATAGAAGTTGGTTGCTCCCACACTGCAGCGCTATTCCCGTCGACCTGACTTGACCCTTGACTGACTCACGGTTGACTGTTTCAGTGTGGGAGCAACTAACTTTCTTTTACGATTATCGCCGAGGTCGCTACCACGCTTTCGTGTTAAATGAAGCTCATTGTTCTTAAATGAAGCTGGTTGTTCTTCAGTGTAGCACATGCATGCACACAATCCACACCGTCCAAATGAACACTAGGACATTTTAGAAACGAACGTTTTCGTTCCCTTCTCTTCATGGTCTCTTACATGGAGTAAAGCAAAATAACTAAGACAGCAATTCTATGGGCAAAGAAGTGAGGGAGATAAACATCAGGCTAGAAGTGCGAAAAGTCAGCAGATCAAAAACAGTGTCATTGTTCTTTTCTGCCCTTTCTTCTGGTGATGTTGTAGCAAACTGCGGTAAGGCGGCTGTGCAGCTAGTGGCTCCAGAATACACAAACTACTACCGCAACGTGCTAAAGTCGTTTCACGAAATGAAGAAAGGTAACATCGGAGGCCTAGGCAAAGGAGAGAACAACCTCTTCTGTATCTTGCTGTATCTGATGAAACGTCCGAGCACAACCGTCCAAGAGCTGTTTAACCTGCTGGCTGATAATGCCAAGCATAGTCGGCGCCGTCTTTTCACGGCAATCAAGTGAGTTGCAGGCTGAGTGTGTGTGTGTGTGTGTGTGTGCGTGCGTGTGTGTGTGTGTGTGTGCATGCGTGTGTGTGTGTTGTGGGGGGGGGGGGGGGGGGGAGTGGCGGGGATAGTTTAGTGATTTGCAGTGGAAGAAGGTTCAGGCATCAGATCATGTTACCATGGTTTCAGCACACCTGTGTATAAATAACACCTATGTATAAAATATCACCTGTGTTTTAAATTAAGACCCCCTTCGAATAAAGACCCCCTTCGAATAAAGACCCCCTTCGAATAAAGACCCCCTTCGAATAAAGACCCCCTTCGAATAAAGACCCCCTTCGAATAAAGACCCCCTTCGAATAAAGACCCCCTTCGAATAAAGGCCCCCTTCAAATAAAGACCCCCTTCGAATAAAGACCCCCTTCGAATAAAGACCACCTATGTATAATGACCACCTTCATGTATTTATAAAGATCACCTGATGAGTGCCTGAGATGGCATGAAACTTTAAGTTGTGACTGATCAAGCCATCTGTTGTTCTGACTAGTGTGTCACGGCTCTACCTTCCCGGTATCGAGCTCTTTTGGATTTCTGCTGGAATTCACAACAGTGTGTAAAGATTACCTTCATGTATAAACTATAAAGACCACCTGTGTGCTTGAGAACGTTGGTGCGTTTCGAGATATCAAAATTTGGCAGGCAAAAAAAACAAGCCATTCAAGCTTTGCACTCGATGTCTGTTGTGACCGCTCGACAGGGAGCACACAAGCCAGCTGAGCACCAGCGATAACAAGCCCAAAGTGGCTTGTTTGGGTGTGACCGCGGCGGCCTTAAGACCACTTGTGTATAAAGATCCATTAATGGTAAAAATGATCACCTGTATGTAAAGGGTACGGTGTATACGGGTATCAGTGGTCTCTGCACCTTCAGGTGAAGGGTGGGTTGGTTTGGGTTTGGGGTGGTGGGGGGATTGTTGTTCACTGAACCACAGATCTTGCTATGTTCAAGCTAAGTTGCTAAATACTTGACAATCAAAACATCTGATAATTGGCCTAATACTGTAGAACGTATAGTTTTTAACGGGTAAAGAAATTAGCATTCTCTGAATCAGGACCAATGGACAATGAAATATGTTAGTGACCCGAGTTTCAGAGTTTTAAGAAAAAGAAGATGACTACTACTGTACTGTAGTACCTGCTAAATTTCAATTGACGCGGCAAAACTTTAGCGAAAACACTCCTTTCGTTAAAATCACTAAAATATCACCTGCGCTTAAATTGGACTTGGATGGAGAGCCAAGGATTAATTTATAAAAAATAAAACGACCAAGGAACTACAAGTTACGCTATAATGTCCACTAACACCACCAGTTACTAAACAATCAGCTCATGCGATAACATAGCATGACATGGACCTACGGTACTGACGCTATAATTAGCCATTTTACCATTTTACAGTAACAAGTGAACTGTTGAGCTACAAGAAAAGTTAGCCTAGTTCTATTAGAAACGTGTGTGTGTGTTGCTGTGCTCCGTCTCTGTCTTTCGTCCGGGTCTTTGCTCATCCATTGTGCACTGTACCATGACAATGAGAAGTTCACTCTGCCGCTGTTTGACCTGTATCGTGTTTGTTTGCCAGGAATGCCGAGTACTTGAAACAATAAGCAGGAGATGAGGCCTTGTCCAGAGATGGCAGGGGGGGGGGGGGGCAAGCGTCTGCTCTCCGACCCCCAGCCGCTCAGTGCCTCGGCCGGATCGGATTAGCAGCCTGGCCGCCCTCCGGGCAGCGTCGTGGAGCCTGATGTCTTTTGACCGGAGCGTTCGTCCTAGGCATCATGGGCGCTGTGTGTTTTCATTGCCAGTTGGCATGTGTTGCTGTGATCAGCTCGTGTCATTTTCCTTCATCATGAATTTACACATAGCAGTGATGTTTCTAATGTCTTGAAGTACACTAGAAACTCACATGCTATTTTACTTTGAATTGCAGTTAGTAAATTTTGAAAATAATAAACTATCAATTTTCAATCCATGTCAGACAATCAGGGAAGTTTTTGAAGCTCCTCTCATTCCCGCCATTAATGTAATAAGAATATTAAAATTTCAAGACACGCTTGCGTGAGCCTTTACTGAAACTTGACTAACGATATTGAGATCACCATGTCTCTGTGCGTTGAGCCAACCCACATTGATTTCATAGAAGCCTAACCTATATCTTTGCAGACTTGATTTTTGTATCCAAATTCAAGACTGAAGATCTCACCAGAACTTAGTAGTAGAAAGTGGTGAATGCGTTGAAATAGGCTGGGAATTTCTCTATCCTATGCCAATAAATACATATGACATTGCCTTACTCTTTTTGCTGTCATCGGCTCACTGCTGATGAGATATAACAAGGTGGAAACAGCTGGCTGTCTGAGATTTGAGTATGTTTTGTTTTTTAAATTGTTGAACACCTCCCTTTGGTGTCCCAGCAGCTGAGACTGCTGTTATCACCACCATGTCTTCACCCATCCACCTCCCTTTGGTGTCCCAGCAGCTGAGACTGCTGTTATCACCACCATGTCTTCACCCATCCACCTCCCTTTGGTGTCCCAGCAGCTGAGACTGCTGTTATCACCACCATGTCTTCACCCATCCACCTCCCTTTGGTGTCCCAGCAGCTGAGACTGCTGTTATCACCACCATGTCTTCACCTATCCACCTCCAATTCTAATTGCAACGCTTTACTATTTTAAAAACACTCAATCACTGTGTGACGTCATTGTTGATGTTCCCGGCTATCTTTGCTGTACTCTTCTCTGGCCCCTGTGTCTGTTGCAGCCATGATCACTGCATGCTGCCCCTTACCACCATTTTCAGCCTAGCATCTGATACTGATACTAGGCTGGAGATGGATTTACATGTGCAATGACAAGAGAATATGATACAATGACGAAGACCAGGGTTACCAGCGTTTCCAAGGGTACTAGGACTAAAGGGACCGTCACTTAATTTTTTGCTGACTACCCGCCAAATCTTTTCGTTTCACGTGTAAGAGACGTCCGCGTACCTCGCTACCTTCCACGTCAAGCAATCGGGTGGTGTCCATACTGGAAATCGATGATGCCACGCCAAAGGGTAACTGCGAATTAGTTTTGCCAATGTTTCTGTTCTTGGAGATGGCAATGTTGCGTGACCAAAAGTTGTTGATTCTTCCCGCAATGAATAATATACTCGGAACGCTATCGTGTTTCCATGGTATACTAAAACACAGTAGCAAATGAGTTTGTGTCCATGGAATACTAAAACATAATAGCAAATGAGTTTGTGTCCATGGAATACTAAAACATAATAGCAAATGAGTTTGTGTCCATGGAATACTAAAACATAATAGCAAATGAGTTTGTGTCCATGGTATACTAAAACACAATAGCAAATGAGTTTGTGTCCATGGAATACTAAAACACAATAGCAAATGAGTTTGTGTACATGGAATACTAAAACACAATAGCAAATCAGTTTGTGTCCATGGAATACTAAAACACAATAGTAAACGAGTTTGTGTCCATGGAATACTAAAACACAATAGCAAATGAGTTTGTGTCCATGGAATACTAAAACACAACAGCAAATGAGTTTGTGTCCATGATATACTAAAATACAATAGCAAATGAGTTTGTGTCCATGGAATACTAAACACAATAGCAAATGAGTTTGTGTCCATGGCATACTAAAACACAATAGCAAATGAGTTTGTGACCATGGAATACTAAAACACAATAGCAAATGAGTTTGTGTACATGGAATACTAAAACACAATAGCAAATGAGTTTGTGTCCATGGAATACTAAAACACAATAGTAAATGAGTTTGTGTCCATGGAATACTAAAACACAATAGCAAATGAGTTTATGTTCATGGAATACTAAAACACAATAGCAAATACGTTTGTGTTCATGGAATACTAAAACACAATAGCAAATGAGTTTGTGTCCATGGAATACTAAAACACAATAGCAAATGAGTTTGTGTCCATGGAATACTAAAACACAATAGCAAATGAGTTTGTGTCCATGGAATACTAAAACACAATAGCAAATGAGTTTGTGTCCATGGAATACTAAAACACAATAGCAAATGAGTTTGTGTCCATGGAATACTAAAACACAATAGCAAATGAGTTTGTGTCCATGGTATACTAAAACTTAATAGCAAATGAGTTTGTGTCCATGGTATACTAAAACACAATAGCAAATGAGTTTGTGTCCATGGAATACTAAAACACAATAGCAAATGAGTTTGTGTCCATGGTATACTAAAACACAATAGCAAATGAGTTTGTGTCCATGATATACTACAATACACAACAGCAAATGAGTTTGTGTCCATGGTATACTAAAACACAATAGCAAATGAGTTTGCGTCCATGGAATACTAAAACACAATAGCAAATGAGTTTGTGTACATGGAATACTAAAACACAATAGCAAATGAGTTTGTGTCCATGGAATACTAAAACACAATAGCAAATGAGTTTGTGTCCATGGTATACTAAAACACAATAGCAAATGAGTTTGTGTCCATGGAATACTAAAACACAATAGCAAATGAGTTTGTGTACATGGAATACTAAAACACAATAGCAAATGAGTTTGTGTCCATGGAATACTAAAACTTAATAGTAAATGAGTTTGTGTCCATGGAATACTAAAAGTTAACACAATAGCAAATGAGTTTGTGTTCATGGAATACTAAAACACAATAGCAAATGAGTTTGTGTTCATGGAATACTAAAACATAATAGCAAATGAGTTTGTGTCCATGGAATACTAGAACACAATAGCAAATGAGTTTGTGTCCATGGAATACTAAAACACAATAGCAAATGAGTTTGTGTCCATGATATACTAAAACACAATAGCAAATGAGTTTGTGTCCATGGAATACTAAAACACAATAGCAAATGAGTTTGTGTCCATGATATACTAAAACACAATAGCAAATGAGTTTGTGTTCATGGAATACTAAAACACAATAGCAAATGAGTTTGTGTCCATGGTATACTAAAACACAATAGCAAATGAGCTTGTGTTCATGGAATACTAAAACACATTAACAAATGAGTTTGTGTCCATGGTATACTAAAACATAATAGCAAATGAGTTTGTGTCCATAGAATACTAAAACACAATAGCAAATGAGTGTGTGTCCATGGAATACTAAAACACAATAGCAAATGAGTTTGTGTCCATGGAATATTAAAACATAATAGCAATGAGTTTGTGTCCATGGTATACTACAATACACAATAACGGTTATGCGCGGTGCAGCTAACGAAATGGATGAACGGACGACGGCCTGAGGGTTCTCCTTCCTGGGTGAACACTGGCGTTCTCCTTCCTGGGTGAACACTGGCGTTCTCCTTCCTGGGTGAACACTGGCGTTCTCCTTCCTGGGTGAACACTGGCGTTCTCCTTCCTGGGTGAACACTGGCAGCCACCTTATACCATTGTTGAATACGAAAAAGGACGACTGACGACATAATATTATTATCCAGACATTACAACGGGAACAGGTAGGTTGGTGGAACAACATGTATTATAGACGACGAGATAAGAGACCAAGACGAACGAAACGACTACATTGAAGAGTGAGAAAAGAGAAAGATATCAAGTCTGAACGGCAAAATAAAGGGCCTGGGTAGCTATGGCAAATATGGGCGCGCAAGTAGCTACCCAGGCCAACGGAACAAAAGGAGACAAAAGGTGAGTATGCAAGTGCATGTAGCAGGCCAGCTAGAAAAGGTACGGGAGGAGGTATCTAACACTATGCTTGATGTTCCAAGCACCATAGGCGCAGGCCACGTTTTTCGGCACCGACGATTTGTTCGTCCACCAACAGTCGAAACAAATGTCTCTCACTTCAACACTCCGTAGAGCTGCCGCTGTTGTGCCAAGGCCCATTGGCGCATGGTGTGTATACCCCAAATCTACATGTATGATAATGGGTTTTTGTTTGTTTGTTTGTTTGTTTATTTAGAGTCGAAGAACAAACAGGCAAATTTGCCTAATTACATGATATCGACTAAAAAGGAGAATAAATTATAAAAGGCCAATGAAGGTAATGACACTGAGTAGAGTGGGTAGTAAAGTATTACGTCCTTGTAAAAGCCAGTTAGGCCAGTAAAGGAAATAATAATACAGCGGGCAGTGGCATTACTGAAAAGCAGCATGTGCTGGGAGGGATCGCATGAATCGGTGGTACTGTGGGATTTTCCTGATGTCGGGCTGGAGCCTGTTCCACAGTGATACACATTGGAATGAGGCAGAATGTGTGCCAGCGGACGTCTTAGTGACTGGAAATTTAAGTGCTCGATTTCCCTGACTACGTGTAGCACGGCCGGCATTAAGAGGACTGAACATATCGGTAAGCAATGTGCTGCATTTACCCTGAAGGCAGCGCCAAGTGTAGCCAAGAAGCTTGTGGCAGTACATAACTTCTAGCGAGTGCAATCGCAATTGGCAATACAGCGGCGCAGATGGGGATGCAAATGGAGCGTTGTAAACACAGCGGACTGCGCGCTTGAGTAGCCGCTCTAGGCGCTCGAGCTGATGTGAGGTGAGGCCAGCAGAGAAACAGTTGCTAGCATACAGGAAGTCAGGAAGGATCAGGGACTTCAGGTACGTGATGCGGCACGGGTGGGTAATTGCAGACGTTTGTGCTCTTGGACAGTGCAACGCTGCGTGAAGATAAGCTGTGGCTCCACGATTGCTCAAAACGCTAGTGTGGTTCCATGGAATACTAAAACACAATAGGCGCGGCGCAGCTAACGCCCACTTGGATGAATCGGACGGCAGTAGTGGCGAGGGCGTTCTCCTTCCTCGGTGAACACTGCTGGACACCCTGTTCGATGATCCACCAAACACCATCGGTGCAAGCCACGTTTTTCGGCACCAGCGATACGTCCAATAATTGAAATTAATTTTTCTAACTTGAACACTCTGTGGAGCTGTCGCTGTCGTGACAAGGCCGTGTGTACTCCAAATCATCTACATGTAGGATGAAGAGTAACTGCTGAAGTTTGCGCTCGTGGACAATGCAACGCTGTGCAAAGTAAGTTGTGGCTCCACACTCGCTCAGAATGCTAATGTGTGCCCATGGAATACTAAAACACAATAGGCGCGGTGCAGCTAACATCCACCGTGGATGAAACGGACAACAGCAGCAGCTAGAGCGTCCTCCTTTCTCGGTGAACACTGCTACAAGAAATACTGCTTGATGATTCACCAA